CACTCCCATCAGGCCTTCTGATCAGCCTTTCGGCACCTCTGTGATTATAAGCGGCGGGGGATTTTGAAATGCTGGGCTGTCCGCTGGCCTTCTGGTCAGCCTTTCAGCACCTCTCTGATTATAAGTGGCAGGGGATTTTTGAAATGCTGGGCTATCCACTGACGGCTCAAAAGCAGCCTCGTATCACGGCTCAAAAGCAGCCTCGTATCAAAGGGCTTCGCTCCAATTCAGTGAATCTTCCCCTTGAACATGGAAAGCTATACAGCCATTTTGTCTTTTGCGCATGTGGTGAGTAGTGGGGAGAGGCCCAAAATCAGTTCACCAGTTCAACAGTTCATCACTCCCCCCACTCAGCAGTTGCTGCAAGCACCAGCATCAGCTGCCACCCACCTACTCCTGACGAACAAGTATCTACCCACCCTCACACCTCCACAAGTACAGTACTACCAAAGTCTTGAGCAAACCATAACCCCACAAAAAAGATATGATCAATCACCGGAAGTGATCTTCATCGATGTGTTATAAATTGGCTGCTATAAATTGACTCCCCACAAAAAAGATTTGATCAATCACCGGAAGTGATCTTCATCGATTGACTCACTCACTGCCTTCAGCAATTCTGCTGGCAACAGCATCAGCATGCAGGCACTCACCACAATCGACTCTTTAGACCTCACAGAGAACATTACTAAGTGGAAGCCTAAACAAATCAGAAACACAAAAAAAACACCGTGACTGAGTTTTTTCTTTTTCTCTCTTTTATCTCTTTTCTAAACGACATACACAAAACAGTCCAAGAAGATAAGATCTGTTGCACCATATTTGTAAAGATGCCTTACAAATACGAACCCCAAACATATACAAAACATTCGCATGTAGAGATCCCAGCCACAAACATGACGGAATGCATCTGCAGAAGAAGCAGAAATACAAAGGTCATGCATCATGCATACGCTTCAGAAAAAACAAATTGCTAATAGTTAGAATACAACCAAATGTTCAATTAACTCACTTTCAACTCAGCGATCTGTTAGTCGAGTTGGTGTGTCCGCCGTGGGATTGCATTTGCCAGAACTGACAGATTCAGATGCACCATAAATGGAGAAGAAATCCCGCACTGACAAAATCATCCTCAATATTTCAGGAAAACATATAAAAGAAAAAAAGAACTACCCCTGAGCACATGATAGAAATAACACTTAGAAAATGCAATTTGTTCCTTTCGAGGAAAGGAGAGTGTAATCAGAGAGTCGTCTCACCTTGCAGTTCTCGTACTCAGCGCACATTCGCTCGGGGTCAGTCACAAAGTAGGGAGAAATGTACCCTCTGTCAAACTGTTAAATAAAAGACCACCACAACCACACGCACATAACATTCAGAAAGATTAGGGCTTAACAATCCAACTGAACGAGAGAGAGGGGAAAAAGGAGCATCGATCTCGATCCAATATATTGATTTCAGTAGAACACAATGAGTCAAACAGACACACACACAAATTGATATAATCAACCATTCACTTGGTACCCAGGAAAGCCAACAACTTCACAATCCAACCGCATGAGAGATCAAAAACGACACGGGAGTACCAATTTACATATGGTATATTACATCGGGCACTCCTTGCATTCCTGGACGCAATTCAGCCTTTTCTTAAACCGAAATCTTCAGGTCCTACTGGCGAGGACACGGTACTCCTGACGACTTCGGTTCAAAAACTGCCGAAACTGCGCCCAGGAACAACAAAGTTGAGTTCCAAGAGGGCTGATTTCAGTGGAACTCTTCTCTCTCTCTCTCTCTCTCTCTCTCTCTCTCTCTCTCTCTCTCTCCCACTCCCCCTGTATACACACACCCCTAAAAAAAAAATTGTACATCGCGCACGGCGCACCACAGAAGTGCGCCGTAAGTATGATGCACACCCATTAAGGCACACTTGGGCATAATCCTCTGCAACGTTGTATTCGGATGAAGAAGGTAGTAGGCATCAACCACCGACAACATCACCAAACAGAACTGTAACAATGCACCCATACATCTTCTGCAACATGATACTAAACCCATACACCTTTCAGGCCCATACGTCTGCTCCACGCTATCTTTCAGGCTCATACGTCTTCTCCATGCTCTCTTCCATGGCCCCTACGTCTGCTGCGACGTGGTACTGAACGACACATACATCCATTCGACAACGGATTAACGACGCATCCACACATCTGCTGTCACATTTGCTACCTCATGCTAGTGTACATGCGCTGCAACACGATATTACACCACCACCAGTACACACAAACCCTGATACCGAAATGCTCTTTACCCCTATACCAGTACACACGAACCCTGTTCCGAATCCAAATGCTCTTTTCACCCCTATACCTACACACGACCCCCGTTCCGAATCCTAATGCTCTTTTTGAAAAGGCACAGCTGCAGGGTCGTGATCCTTTTAGGAATGTGACTTTATCAACTTAGGCTCGTTCGTGTGAATTGCTCAGTGGTTTAACCATCCATCCATTTGTTCGCGGGCTCGATCCCTCGCCCACTGCCACTCGACAATCTTACCTGCATACCCTCGACGACATAAAGGTTGTTCTCTACGCTCTTGGCCTCCTCCAATGTAATGACTCCGCTTCTCCCAACCTTGGCCATCGCTTCTGCAATCATGTTGCCCACCTCATAATTGTTTCCAGCGCTCACCGCTGCCACATCAGCAAGCTCCTTGTCCTCCACCTCCTTCGACATAGCCTTCAGTTCCTTTACGAGAGCGGCGACTGTCTTGTCAATTCCCCTCGTGATTTGCACAGGGTTTGCACCCGCAGCCACAACCTACAAACAGAACAAAAGTGACAATACAAAATACCCGTTCAACACACCAACCCAAAGAGCTGAAGCACATCCGAAGAGCAGGTACCGACACGAGACAAAAATGTGCCTCATCCATCAGAAGAGCAGGTTGAGACACCTTCAAAGCATTAGACTCTCTCTCTCACACAAGGCCCTGCTTCAAAGGATTCTTCTCCTGCCGATCACTACTCTCGCACGGACACTCTTGACTGTCTGTCTGTCAGGCCTCTGCTTGGGCAAAATACCTTCCAATTTCTGTCGAAATAAAGTAGCAGCTGCTTGGACATTTTTCGACACTTAAAACCATCATCCATTTAAAAAAGAATTTGTCCTTGGGAAACACGAGCAGTTCAAACTGTGCAGGGTTTCCTTTTCCTTTTCCCATACTTATTTCTGTAATTTTGCTGGTAATAGGAATAATCTGCAAAAACTCATCACCCATATTTAACCCAGGTCAGATCACCCCAGTAATCGAAGACTTACCAGTGGGGACCACCACAGAGAGCTGCCTGGAGAATCGTACGTAGAGAGAGGGACAAACGTACAACAGACTTGAGGCTGCAATGAACAGATCCATCTACACTTTCACCATTCTGGAGAGCCCGGACTGAGCGTTGTGGTAGGTAGGTAATCCAAAAACATTAACGTTGTCACACGAATAGAACGCCCGGTCATTATGGCTGCACCTGGACTGAAAGTTACCCCAAATACGGCTATAACGACCGGGTACGTTCTATTTGGGTGAAGCCGGTAGTGATTCATCTCAGACTTAACGTTTCAGCCACGGTAGGAGTCTGAACTGAACTTTCGTTATTGCGCGTGAACACTCTGCGTGCAACCCACCACGGGTTATTCCAACAACACTACCATCATCCGCTGAACATAACACACGAGGATTCTGCATGAACACACCAGGATTCTGAATGTACACAAGCCATCTTTCCGGGTTGATGCAGTCATAATGAGAGTGCCAGTTGTTCAGGGGGAAGACGGCAGTGCCTACCTACTTTGAGACTCAAATTTCAGCCACGGTACCTCGTCCGTTGATAAGCCGGGGCACTGCACTGCTCACACAGAGGTGCTCCAACCATATAACAGTGATGAGAGACTCCACACACCGTAGCGGTGAGGTACTTCCTAACCTATGTTAACCGGGGTGGCCCGGCGGGACCACTTGCCCGGCGCCGGGCCACAAATAAATGAATAAATACAACTACCGAAAAATAGAAAAATTTATCTCTTGTTTCTAATTATTCTGCAAAGAATTTCGATCCGACCCTGAGGCAAAAGTTGTCCAGTTTATTTACGTCGATTTTCTTGGTTTCTTTTTTCTTCTCAGGGAGCCCAGCACTCATACAAGGATAAGGGTTCTGTTTTCTTGTGTTTTTTTTTAAACAGGGCGCCCCCTCATACAAGGATAAGGCCACAATGAAGGTGCAATGAATTCCACAAAGCGTGGCCAACATTCATGTACATACACCCTTCTCCTGCCCCCCTTTCCCCCACCGCCGCCCTCTTCCCCCCAATACAAAAGCCTGGTAATGGCAATTGCTGGTAAATCTTATTTCTGGTACATACACCCTTCTCTCCCTCCTAGCTTGTGTCGCATGAATTCCGCCTTTTCATGCTCCTTTCTATTTGTACACATACGTACAGAGACCACAGAGGGCGTTTCATCACTGTTTCCATACATACATACATTCATAAGCATACAGATACATAGACATCAGCCTTCTCTTAGGCTCCATATATACACACACGCATGCATAGATAGACATGCTTGCTTTTCTTCTGCCTCGTTTCTTGCAGTATAATTTCATTTCCATATCGAAGACCCTTCCCTTCATAAAACTTCACGACGCTTACAACGTTTGATTCTGGAAGCAAATTGTGTGACTTTTTTATGGTCGATTCCAATACAACATTTTTTTTTCTCATTTTGATCTGTTAATCTGGCAAACAATTTCGATACGACCCCGAGAAAAAAGTTGTTCAGTTCAAATTTTCTGCCCCACATAGCTCTTTTTCAAATCTTTTTCCTTTCTTTCCACAGGCCAGCGACCTTCCCTGGCCCCGGCCTAGCCGGGCCGTCCGGGCAACCAAGGTGGCCCGGACGGTCCGGTGAGTAACACAGATACCTATACTTACCTACAGAGACAGACACAGACAGACAGACAGACATAAATAGACATGCATACATACCGTTACGCCCTCTGCAATGAGGCCCATGGCAGGAACATCATTGCCCGGGCCGCCCGGGCAACCGAAGGTGACCCGGACGGCCCGGATCGAAATACCTGCCTGGATACCTACGTACAGAAACACAGACAGATAAACAGACACATACAGACATAACTAGACAATGCATACATACCGTCATCCCCTCTGCAATGAGGCCTTGGGCAAGAACAACAGAAACACAGACAGACAAACAGACACATGCAGAAATAAATAAGACAATCCATACATACCTTCATCCCCTCTGCAATGAGGCCTTGGGCAAGAACAACAGAGGTGGTTGTTCCATCACCGGCAAGGTCATTCGTCTTGCTCGCTGCTTGGCGGACAAGCTTGGCACCAATGTTCTCCACAGGGTCCTCTAACTCAACCTGCACAGGGAAACACATTCCTATTTACTTTTTCCACTGATTTACGAAGCAAAAAAAAAAAAACAATGTTCGTTCAGCAGATCCACAACCACGAATAGAAACGAAAGTCATCTTCCTCGTATTTTTTCCAGGGTAGAAACGAAAGTCCTCTTCCTCGTATTTTGCCAGGGTAGACTGTTAATAACAGGTCTCGAGGCTGCAAGATAATGGCAGAAATTGGCCCTCACTCCACCACTCACCAGATGTGCACAATGAGAACGAATCTTCCGCTTAAATATGGGAAGATACACAGCCATGATTTTTGTCTTTTCCGCACATCAGGGGAGTAGTGGAGCGACGCCCATTGTCGTGGTCTATGAAGACGGAGAAAGGAAAAGTAGAACACAAACAAGTCAAAGGACGAAACATACCCTACGGAGAACGAATTAAAGCACTCCAAAGGGCCTCGCCGCACCACTCACCTTGTGCAAAAACAGAATGAATCTGCCACCATCATCTGAGCACTCGGTCAGTGTGGTGCAGCGAGCCCCAAAGACGGCCATGGAATTTATTTTCTTTGTTTGTTTGTTTGTTTTTTTGGTGCGATATGCATGTGCTCCAGGGTACGTCGTGTATCCATATTTTCCATCTTCTGAGCACTCGGTCAGTGTGGTGCGTCGAGCCCCAAAGTCGGATAACTGAGAAAAGGACCAACCCCTCCACAGTCACTGAAACTATAATATTGGATGCAATTTTTATTCTTCGTTTTTTTCTGATTTTTTTTTCGTGCAATATGTACGTGCTTCAGGGTACTTCGTGTATCCAATTTACACATTTTAACTACAAAAAAAAGGACTTAATCCTTTCAAAAGGACTTAATCCTTTCAATCCGTTGAATGCTTGTTTTCCCTCGAAGGGTGGTCCCCCCCCCCCCCTCAGAAAAGCATGTGTTCCGGTTCTCTTAGTGTTTCACTGTTTCTCTTTCATCAGTTTCGTTGTGTTCTCCTCTGCAAGCACACCGAATTTTTCTCCAATGCAAGCAGACCGCATTTTTCTCCTCCATAAGCAGACCGATTTTTTCTCCTCCATAAGCAGACCGAATTTTTCTCCTCCATAAGCAGACCGAATTTTTCTCCTCCATAAGCAGACCGAATTTTTCTCCTCCATAAGCAGACCGAATTTTTCTCCTCTACACAAACATTTTTCGGAGTCGTTAGGAACATCAGAACCCACACACACCAAACGGATTCTCTGATTGGCAGAAACAGTTGTTAGATTAATTGTCCATTGCATGCGAAAGGTCGTTCCCATTGAGTCTAACGATCGAGACACGACATTCATACGTTCGCCGCCAACCACCCGTGCCTACTCACATACTTGAAATTTCAAAAAATCGAAATTTCACAATGCCGAAGTTATATAGCAATATACCAATCAAGAAGACGAGACAACGAACGAGTAGAAAAGCTTCCAAAGAATCAAAATAAGATCAGTCAAAATTTCACAATGCGTAAGTAGAATAGCAATAAACCAGTCAAGATGACGAGACAACGAACGAGTAGAAGCTTCAAACGAATCAAAATCAGATCAAAAGTTTCGAAAGAACTAAAATCAGATCAGCCACCACACGTCCACCACACAATGTATTCGTATACCTCCTTCGCCACAGTGACCCCATCGTTGACGATTTTCGGCGCGCCGTATTTACTCTCTAGCACAACGTTGCGTCCCTTCGGGCCAAGCGTAACACCAACCAAATTGGCCAGCTTATCCACACCAGCCTGCACGGAAAAGACAAAGGGCACAACAACCACAAGAGGGAGAGCGAGAGATAAAAAGAGGGGAGGATTCAGAACAGGAGCAAAGGTCCAAGGAACACGAGAAAGAAAGACGTATGCAATCACTCACCTTTCATGGGCGGTCACTTTCTCAACCTATCACGACATCACCGCAGCAAAAGACGTGAAGAAAAATAGAAATCAAAGAAATACAGACAGTGAAGTAGAGAGATGATCGATGGAAAGCGGAAAGAGAGAGCAGACAGAGGAGAAAGAGAGAAGAAGAGAAAAGGAGAATGATGGAGATGAGAAGAGAAGAGCAGAGAGAAGAAAAGAAGAGAGAAAAAGAAGAAGAGAAGGGAGCGATATTTAACACGAATGAAAAAAAGGTCGCACAGGGTTAGGGTACAGAATAGGAGCAGACGTCATCACATAATCATACCGAGCAGGGTACGGAAAAGATATTCGTGGAGGAGGGTTCATCAGGCTCCCTGTGCAGCTCAGGGGCAGATTAGCAATCAACCGTAAAACTTTCACCTCGTCTAGAAAGCCGACCAGGATCGTGCAACGACATGAGACAGCATTCAACAGTAAAAATCGGTGGTCAGAACCCACCGGGAGTCGCTCGCACCGTAACTAAGCACGACCTGGTCTAAAAGGCAGGCCAGGTTCATGCTACGACACCATAGCAGACAACAAAGGGAGTTTAAAATGAGAGAGGAGGCAGTGACAGGGTCATGCTACGACACCATAGCAGACAAAGGCAGTTCAAAATGAGAGAGGAGGCAGTGAGAGAAGCTCAAACAAGGGGACAAATATAAGGAAGAAAAAAAACGTAAGGAAAGTGGGGGGCGGGGAACGAACATACGGACGGCGGAACTCTGCCTTAGACCGATCCAGTGCCAAAAAGATGCTCCACAGGCCGTTGTGAAATCTCTGCCCTCCACATGTGACTTTCTTCAGGGGGGTATAACTAAAGCGCAATCACGAAAACTGTTTGCAAAATGCCCTTCAGGGGTTACCCCGAACACAACACAACCCCACGTGACCCCACCGGACCCGAAACCTAGCTTGTATATATTCGACATTTTCAGGCCTTTTGCCTCACCAAGTGCATTTTCAAACTCAAATGATAACTGCGCCGTAGTTCTCTCTTGCTCCTCGTTAACAGGAGAGTCACACTGACTATGTAAAAAACACGTTCAAGAAGAACGAACCTGCATCTTCTTCATCGCCGAGCCATCTTTGTTGAAGTACAACTCCTTCGCCATACTCTTCGTCACTGTGAGTCTTCTGCCCGCCGGCGCCGCTCCATGGCTATGGTGGCCATTATCTCTCACGGCAAGCGAGGAGGAGGAGAAGGTGGGAGAAGAGAGGAAAGAGGAGGCAGTGGAGGTCACACGAAGGCCGGTTCTCTGACATATCCATGAGGAGGACGTTGCTTGGCGCGCAGCTCTCCGTTGTTCCTTCCTCGAAGTCTTCGATGAAGAAGCAACGCCTGCAATGGGCGCGACTGCGGCGGCAGCAGCTGTCGTCGACGCCATAGCCAAAAGCTCGAAGACCAGCTGTCCACGGATGTGAGGACAGAAGAATCTAACGGCCCAGAATCGTTAGCAGGCGATTAGACCCTTGGTTTGGATCGCTGCCACGTGTCACACCCGCGTGCGTGCGTTCCCTGCAAGCTGCCTTTGACAGCCGCCGACGCCGACACGAATGCTGTACTGCTCCGTGCGTGCACAGCGGCCTCCAGCTAAAAGAGACACCGACTCCGCACACAACCCCCTCGTAGTGACCCCGACACCGACTGCGCACACAACCCCCTCGTAGTGACCCCCACATACAGATCACACCCCGCTCGTAATCAATATTCAGTCCCTCCCTCTACCTTCTGTAGATGGGGTAAGGTAGTAAAACAAGCACGCCCCCCACGCGAGTACCAGAAAAAAGGGGCGAAAAGAGTGCAGAAGGGAATGGAGCGAATTGTTTGTGGTTCCCTCGCGAATTCAGGAACCTTCTGTTGGATGAACCCTTCAGCGAAGCACACCGAAATCACGACTGAGTCCCAAAAAAAAAAAAAAAAAAGAGAGAAATCCCGACTGAGCAGAGGATTTTCGCCTCCGTCGCGAAAGAATTCCGATTTCCGGAACCTTCTGTTGGGTTGGATGGACCCCACGCCGAAGAGCACCTACCCCCCTCCTCCTTCACCTTCCCCACCCCTTTTCCCGGCCCCTGACAAACACAAAAAGAGGTGCAAGGGGCGGATAGTCAAGAGGTGCAAGGGGCGCATAGTCAAGAGGTGCAAGGGCGGGATGGTGAAGGGGTGACGTATCTTTTTCATGCTGTAACCTCTTTTTCCTCGACGACCAGTGGATGCCCCAGCCATTGGATTGGTAAAACAACTGTTGAGATATACGACCCCGAGTTCGAATCCAGTCCTTTTAGACGGAACATAGGCAACATATCTGCAGTGCAGGTAACATATGCAGGCTCACATAGTACCCTGTTATACCATGCTAAGAGTGGTGGCACCAGCCTGGATCGTGCAGTCGAGCAGGTCTGTGTCAGGGTTCAGGCATGCCTGGCGGACGGTTGCGGGCCATTTGTGAGGCGTAGGGCCTCGCCACACCACTGTCGAAAATGCAATTTTTGACAGTTTTTCTTCGCCATACAGACTATCGAAGTCGGAGACGTCAAGAAAATTCGCCAGTTGTCATAGAATGTTTCTCGACACCTCGTCAAAAGTTGTTCAATCCCTAGCCTGCTACTCCTATGCTTTCAACACCTCTCGGTTGCGCCATCGACCTCCCTTCGAAATTTGGTGAGTGGGGGTAAGGTCGGGATGGACTAATGCTTGTCGTACCCTCAGGCGCGTTCGTCTTTTTCCATCGTGCTTTCACAAGTGCGTGCACTCTACATTGCTGTGTGGTGAAGGGGAGAAAAATTGTCGAATGGAGGCTGTCGAATTTGTTCTGCCAACCGTCAAAATTTTGTGCCTTTCGACAGTGGTGCGGCAAGGGCCGTAGTAGATGGGTTCGCTCCGCAACACGACACTCTACATGTGTTTGGACGCTTTCTCAACTATGTGCATTCAGACGAGTCCAACATTTTTTAATGTATTTAGCCAAGAACGCTTATAAATGCATGTAGAGTGTCGTGTAGTGGAGCGAGGCCCAAGGTGTGAGAATTTTGTTGAACACATTTTTCTAGGCAGGATATCAGTTGGCGTTTAGGAGGTGCCCGACTCAATTTTCACCAGCTTCATCTCATGTGTATGCTACAGGGCGGGAATGTTTTATCGAACGTTTGTGCTTCAATATTTGGTATTTCATCCATTTGGCAGGATTCTCAGACGTTCGACATTGTTCGTCTTTCCTCATAAGGGAGACTATAGATATGAAAAATAACGATTGAGATGAAAAACAGTAACCCCTTTACGAAAAGTTAATCGTGCTCTTTCACACTAATGAGGAAGAAGCACAGTGGGATGTAATAAAACATGCAGACATTTGTTTTCGGAGTATACATCCATATACGTACACTCTTGTATATATATATATATATACGTGTATGTGTATGTATGTATATTATCAATTTGTTTGTGTAACAGCGGTGTATAAGGAAGTTTTTTAAAGGTAGGCAGTTGACGGTTTGTGTGTGAGCATTTTATCAAACACAATTTTTTAGGTAGCACATTGTCGACACAAAATACCCTTACAATGGTATTTGATCATGTTTTTATGACCCGCATGAGCCCCATCCAAAATGATAATAGAGGCAGTAACACTTTTTGTTTGCACAACCGGCAACCGACTTTCATTAGTCGGAATGGCGAGCGCACCTGTGGACAAGTCAGAGAGTGTGTGGGCGTGAATTGTTTATCTAAATGTATGACGTTCCCTAAAAAAAATGGTATGATCAATGATCTCGCACAGCAATGCGAGCTTGAGGGGGTTTATAATTTTGATTAACATGGTCTCACTCATTGCACGCACGTGTGCAAAGGTCGACATTGTTTTGATCGACGTTTAGGTTTACTATATTGGTATCACTATCGGAGATGATTACCGTTTACCTATTTGAAACAGTGCTTAAACCACTAGTCCCCCTGCTAGCCGAAAATGAGCATTCCAGTGTGTTAGGGCCGCATTTGGAAAGGGTCGCCGACCGACAAGCAACTAGCGGGTCCAGTCACCCACTTTCAAAGCACAAACTTTGGTGATTTTTTGCGCCCTGAATAATCCACAGAAAAATCATAAATTTTGGTATATGGTAGATAAGGTTGTGATCTTTATAGAAAAAAATAAAAAAAGGTTTAGATGTTGACATTATCGTTACGCCGAATCGGAGCATTTTCCATTTCTGTCACTCCGCCAGCACAAGCGGTTGTCGGGTAGCTGAAAATTTAGGAGTGAGGGTTTTGGGCAGTCTGAAAATCATGAATGGTCCTGAGGTGGTGAAAGGTCCGAAGACCCTGAAAACCACCTGTTTAGGCAGGCTGCATCCTGAAGTGGTGATGAAAAATACGACAATTGTTAACCTTCTCTCTCCGCCAGCTATCGGTCAATGGAAAAGCACCCCAACTTGGATGATTTTTCATGCTCAGACCAATTCGATAAAATTTTTGAAAACTAGTGTCCCAGTTGATTATATCGTGATTTTTTAAATAAATATATTTAAAAAAAAAAAAACGTTTTAGGTAGTGAAATGATTGTTATGCCGATTTGGAGCATTTTTCATTTTTGGCACTGAGTTGGTTCTCCATACGGTCCTACCGGTAACCCTCATTAGTGTGTGCTACCGGTCCTCCCAATTTTTCAATGTCAGGAGGATTGGTGGTTAAAGTCCGCATAGGGTAAAGTGTGTGAGGCGCCTTGATTGTTATACTTCTTATTTGTCAGTAAAATTTTCCAACGACATTCTGCAAGGCATGCCTTGTAAAGCACATCGACCCCCCCGCCTTTTCTCCCGAAGAGGAAGGAATCCTTCCGACCATGAAGACTTGAGTTCGATTCTCTTCGGAGAATCGAAAATTTATGGGATATTTCTTGATTTATGTATGTAATCCTTTGCGCAGGTGCCTTGCTAACCTCTACACGACGGATTTCGGCCGCACGATCTTAACGATCATACGATCGAAATCGGTCGTACCCAATGGCCTTAGCCCTATATCTGCTCCTGCAAAAGGAGCTAGTACCAGTCGGACGCTATTGGGCTCGATCCTAACATCTGCTGGATGTAAGGCCGATACTCACACCTACTGGGCCAGAGGAGCTGTTTTTTTAATGAAAAACATACGCACTCTACTTGCTCAACCCTTTGACTTTGTAGCCCTACCGGTTCTGTCCAACCATAGGAGTACCCTACCTCGCTATATAGTAGTCGTGCACTTGGCGCAACTATCCCTATCACTCACACAGGCCTTGAATCACGCGACTTAACAGTCGCGCGTTATTATTCTAGGTAGGATAAGTCTTAGCTTTAACATTTTCACGACCGTATGCCATCGTGGTCCTGGTAGAAACCGCATTCGACTGATCACACTGCCGATTACCGCCATTGTTATCGAACGTCACAAGCGTCCGGGCTAAGGTAAAAAGGTTATAGTCTCTTGGTCATAGGCTAGTCTTAATAAACTTCTGGCAGACGTCAGTCTCATCAAGTCCCTCAATTTAACGAAAAAAACGGACAACGTCCGACATTGAAAAACTCGAGTAAATACCCTTGTAAGGGTTTCTGTTTCGCCAATGTAAACGCAGTTCGACACATGTAAGACTCGGGGGGTTCGCCACCTAAATAGTAAAGGTACAAATTGAAAGTGGGCGCTTGCCCAGACCTAAAATAACGGTGACATCGTTTTGGCGTGGTAGGTAATATGTACGGTAGTTGTAGATGAAACCCAACCCTCGATGCAATGAGTGTCGAAGATTGACGATCGTGGGTTCGGTCGATGAGTCAAGTTGTGGCCTTGACAGGGGCCGATAGGCAAAGGTGTGGCATTGGGGTAGTTTAGGGGGCATAAACCCCAGGTAGATGTTATTTATAGAAAGTTTTGTGTGTGCTAGAATTAGACTTTGGTCTGACCCCATTCATTACGACATTGAACTTTCATGTGACAAATATGCAGATCGAGGCATGAGAGATGTGACAAAGTGATTGAGTATATTGGAGGAGACAAAGGGGTTGAGGGTCTTGCAAGGCTATTCTCTTTGGTTTAAACATCGGTCCCGAGCATGGGTCCGAGCAACGGGAACAAGGAAGTGTCGGAAGTCACCCCCCCCCCTCTTTCTCTCTCTTTTATTTCTTATTTTTTATTAATGAATTATTTTATTATTATTATTTTTTCCCGTTTCTATGTATCACTTCCGGAACCGAAAACCAACGAGTCCAACTTAGTTGGTACACTTGCGGATTGTTTAAATACAAACCTCAGTTCAAGATCCACTGAAAATAGATCAATAATATATTGTAATTCTAAATTGTTTAGGGGCGAGTTGTCCAATGGTGGTATCATGGGGCCTTTGTCCTTCGGGACATCCGTTAAAATTGGAATAATACAGATATAGTTAGCATGACCCAGCTGCCTTACTCTACCTCGAGCAGTTATGGGATAAGGTTGTGTGCGTCGGTGGGTCAAGTGCATAGATGAGGATGATTACTGTAGGAAGGTTATCCAAGGACAATGAGTTCCTCCCCCCCTACTTACTTATTGTTGAAAGATTGTTGAGTTGTAGGACGCCAAGTTCGGCTGCACTGTCGGTGCGAATACCC